GCCGGTGCCAAAAGGCGCCAGAATCTCGGATCGCTGGAAAATCGTCTTTAGAAGTACTTTGACCCGTAGAACACGAATTTCACATTAGTTCGTTGCGAGTGAGCCTGAAGCATGCGCTCGCGCAAAACTGTTGTGATAGCGCCGGCGCCTGTGGCGCGGGCGCCAAGCGTTGTCGCGCTAAACCGGTGTGTTCTACGGGTCAAATTACCCCTGAAAACAAGTTTCTAGCCAAATCCACAGTCATGGACGAATTTCGATCAAAATCCGGCTCAGTTCTTGAGGAGTGGGGCAGTAAAGGGTAAATAGTGCCAGGAAAAGTACTTGACATGCTTGAAATGCTGAAATGTGCGAATTCGCACTATCTCGCTGAGAGAAGCCAGACATACCCGCACGTCGCGGCGGCGACTGCCCTCGTCCCTCCCATCTACCTTATCGTCAGGAGTGGAATGGGGGGTTGAAAAATGAAATGATTAAAGTTTCGAGCTTACCGTAATGCTTATCCGAAGGGTATGACTTTGGGTAGCCGAGCTGGCATCGCCTCTTGCACCGTGGAGTGTCCGCCAAGTCGTCACATTCTCCATAGTACGGTTCGTCTTTATGATATCCACATGGATGAATCTCGTAAGGACGGCAACTACCCTAACGAGGACTTTATTGAGGATTATAGTCGATGAACATAAAAAGGCCGCCATGATCCCACCTTTGTATTGTAGTTTCCACCAGTCACAACTCCTTGTTCGGCGAAATAATACCAAGCTCTGATCGACCAGCCACCTTGACATCTGAATCGGGCAATAGCTCTTATGTATATGAAATGGTTCCTACCAATGATTTGGTAGAGGGTAAAAAATCTGCGATCGTCGTTCATTGGCTTTCTGGATTCTATGAAGTACGGCAAGGATCAAAAACGGGTACATGTCAACAGAATCGTCCCTGCGCTACTGGTCGTGGCCGCGACGTCGCATGGGCGGCAGTGGACGAGTTTTGGATTTGAATGTTAGAGGGACGCCATGCCGGCCCGTCCTTTCTTGCCATTTCCCATGAAAGAGCCAAAGCAAGTAAATTGGAATTGATATCCGTGTCCCAAAAGATTAGTGCAGAGTTCAAGGAGTTCACTTCCATCCGTCAAATTCGAAAATCTCGCGCCCATCGGAAAAATGCTGCCTTACGCCGGCCAGTGGCCGCAGGCGGCGGCGCGACGACCGGACGATTCTGTTGACCGCTTACCATGGAAAAGTGATTCGGGTAATTAGAAACCACGACTGGATGGGTTTGGTTAATCGTGCGACCGTGAGTTGTAACACTCATTCTTGCCCCGGTACAAGAACGATTTACAGTGCGGTGAGTGGGTTCCACCGTAATCCGCGTTGCAAGCAAGTCGATAACATGTGACACTGCGTGGCCCACCGCGAACGTGGTCACGGTAGAACCAATTCGTCATACTGACGAATCGTTCTTGTTAAATCGGTCCAGAACGCGGGAAGAGGTACCCTTATCCCGCCATGTGATTCACTGGACAAGACATATCGCATCTACATCTACGCACGAACTATCTTGGATGTACACAATTTCATGTCCATTGGATAACGCCACAATAATCAAATAAAGGCCTTACAATCACTCATGTGAAGAAGCTCTTCCAAAGAGGAGAGATACGACAATAGGTAAACTATCAGATTCAGCTTTTGGGGGGCGTGGACGAGCCAAGAATTAGTACATTGGCGGTGCGCCACTGAACACACGAGAGCGCGGTCGCCACAGAGCGACTTCTAGTATGGTCCCCCTGTAAACTGGAAGATCCTCTATCCATTTTATCGACCCTACGTCTGCCTCTGAGTGGAATCAATCATGAAATCATACCCGTAACCGCACCATGTGCAGCATGATACAATGTCCTGATCGGAGATCAGCACCTGCAAGTTACTACGTGAAGTCAGAGCAGAATTTCGTCACAGCGCTAGTGTTGTACCTGTTTGGCTCCTTGAGTAGCAATGCAAACCCTATCCGACATGGCGGATGCCGATGAGACTGCCCAGCATGAACCTGAAAATAATTCGGGTCAATTTCAGATTTGTCAGTGCCTAAAGTGACCTTAAAAAGAAGTGCTTACCGCAGTTTGCTTGGTCGCGGATATGAAACACCGAAGAGCAATTGGCCCATTGAACTCGAGCGTCGAAGCTGAAAATAGAGGACAAAATTCACTGCTGACCGCGACGACAAGAGTTTTGCTTTTTCCTTTTCATTTGTCACGGGGGGACACTCTCAGCGTAAAATCCTCGAAGCAGCGTTGCGGGGCGTTCTGCGGGGGTTTACCGTTGGAAATAGAACTTTTTGTGCTTCCCCGGTTCCATCAGCCTGCACCAAACCAATGGGGTTCTAGTGTCTTTAGATTCGCTCATAGCGCTTTGGGTGGTGCAGTGAGCAAAGCCGAGCAGCAGATGGGGATGTTTCGAGTCCTCGATCATACCTCCAGCGTTGCTCAGTGGTTAACTCACCATAGTTCATTTGGTAGGTGGGATAGAGCCGTTTGAGGAAGGGGGAAGGGCGACGCGTCATTGGCACAGCTCCCGAGAGCGTGAAAGCAGCCTAGTGTTTCAGAAATGCCCCCGATGGTGGTTTAAATCGCTCGTTATGCAGCGATCGTTGACTGCGCCCTCTCGTACTTCGTGCTTTCTCGCGTCTTCTGTCTTCTCTGCTCGCTCTGAATCTCCGTCGTACCACACACGACCTTACAGAAGTCTTTAATCCGCAATTTAGCGTTTTCGATAACTTCTTTTGTCTTCTTCCACTTTCAGCCCAAATGGCACCTCCATCTTTACTATTGAGCGCTCTCACGTACACACCACTTTTATCCCGGGGTGAAATTGACGTTGGTTCCTTGCCTTTCGATCCTGACTTCGGCTGTGAAGTGAGGGAAGAGAAGCTTCCCCACAATTTTTGTCGCAAACTGGACGCGGTTTCTGAGAAGCTTGAGCAACCCCTGTCAACCCTGGGCTTTTAGCACCTTCACAGAAGTTTCGGGGTACCCGACAGGAGGCCCGTCGCGTGGCGAGAAGGCAGAGACGCAGACGGGTCAGCGGACGAGTCGCAGCGCGTACTGTAGCGATTTCAGCGTCAAGTTGAATAAAATGTACTATAGTACGTCCCACATCGCTCAGCACGCACTGACTTGTGAGATTCGTCTGCTTCACTGCTCTCTTGCCGCGCGACGGGCCTCCCGTTGGGTACACCGACACGTCTGTGAAGGTGCTCAAAGCTCTCAAAACCGCAACTGTGCATTGTTCCCCACACGCATGTACCGGCTGCACCTCGTCCGCTCGACCCGTCTGTGTCTCTGCTTCTCGCCGTGCGAAGACGCTCCGCCAGACTCCGAAGATAACATAAAAACCATCACGTGATTGCGAAATACGGGTACCCAAGGTTTCGTAATCGTGATGGATTTTATGCCTTCTTATCTGTAAGCGTGGTCATTCCTCAACATCTGCACAGGAGCCAGCTGCTTACGCGAACCCTGCGCTCTCAGGAATCGACGGTCCGTCGATCGTCTCCTTCGCGGATCTCAGGCAAACATGCCGTTGCTGTTTTGGTCGAGATTTTCAGATCCATCATTGATCTGAAGCCAGCGTGTACGGTTCTGAGTTGAGCTCAGATTGTCGTTCTACAAGGGGTCAGGTATCATGGAAGGCTGCATGCCTCAGTTACCTCGAAGAGTTCTTGATTTTCCGAAGTATTCGATCAAGGTCGGCGGCCCGGGCACACTTGTGCTTCAGCGGAATTTGTTGCGTTTGTGGCAGCTGTAAAGAGGGAACATGCGAATTTTTACCGCTTCATAAACTGATATGACGAACCAAGCAGTTGCCGGCCTCGGTTGGCTGCTCGGCATAGTAGACAAACAGTGCACACAAGAAACTTCTGGAAGCGCGAACATTCTCAAACATCTACCGAAAACTAGAGGCAGAGCAATTCTCTAGCACAGAAAAGTCGGACCAGAAAACATCACCATGCTCTTCGAAAAGTTCGCCTTCTCTAATCCGTGATACTGTTATAATCCTCTCAATCGGCATTAAGATCAGTGCCGGACGTATAAGGGAAGACGAGAATAATTCGACAGCCATTTCGTCATGCGCACAAGCCGTAAACCAAGTGACGACACATTTTTGAAAGCGCTTGGCGCTCCCATCATTTTGGACGCTCTTCTTTGAACTTGCTTATAATAGTTCTGTTATCCTACTTAACTTTGGTATTCCTCACCTTACCCTTGGGTGTTCCTTGGTCAACTTCTGTGGAAGTGAGGCGACGATGCGACTCTATCTGATTGCGAGGGTCAGCCTCATTTAGCCGGACCCGTCATGTGGTTTCGTGTGGCCCGTGGGAGGATTCGGACTGTTGAAGTCCATGCAAATCGATGGCTGTTTTATGGGCACCATGTGTAAATCTGCCCTTTAGTTATTGGCGCCCATGAAAGCTATTTTGTGTCCTTCCTAATAGTTAGATTGAGAGTCATACTTACTCCTATGAACGAGAAAACAAAAGCGCTTCGTTTGATCACTATGAAGCTGTGGCTATGCGTTCAAATTCGCGCCGAAGACATCTGCACAAAATTATGCGCGGGGTGCGTCCTTAAAGTTGACTCCTGTAGTGCCGTCATCCGGAACTTTTTTGACCCTTTCATCTTCGGCAAAAACGTATCACACCTCCACTGCATCTTGTGTGATCTCTCGGTAGAAAAAGCCAACCCCGATCAAATGTTAACCGTTTCACCGAGTGAAAGTACTACCGGTCTTTGCTTCCCGAATGGAACTTTTTGCCCAACTTGGCAGCAGAAAGACCCTAAGCAGTATTCGTGCCTTGAAATATGTGTTTAAAAACGACGTAATAGCTCCGGAAGGCATCATGCAAATGAGCTGGCCAATTGTTCAGATGGAACACTGTTGGGGCTACATCGCATGACATGTTTCGTTCTTTATTTATATTCCTTTATGTATTTTTTCTCGGATTTTTATAGCTGTAAATGTAGGGTGATTCACTAATTATGAGACAACTTGGTACAAAACGAGGGCGCAATCGCAACATGCGGGGGCTTTAATGATATAATGGCATTTTGAAGACAAGGGAGGTCGTTCAGGGTGTGCCAAGCTTTTTCAAAATGGTTTCTTGCATGACATTGGGGCACATATGGGGACCACAGAAGCATGGTTCATTTTTCCTGAACGGCCCTCTGAATACCAGAAAAGGGGTCCCTAGTTCGATTCCTCGTGGTGACAAATTTTTGCATTTCGAGTTGACGTTCCAAAATTCGCGCAAAATGGAGTTAGCATGAATAATTAGTACCATATTCATGATTAGGACCGTCAGTAACCCTTACAAATAGACTTTGATTGAAAAACTGGTGAAAAAGGTGTGACTAGAAAGCCCCACCCCCAACCCGACGGTCCTTCTTTCGAATCCTTTTTCTTTTACTTTTTGCTTTGGACTATACTGTTTTTTGTTGTAGTCTCGTGGACTGGCACCGAAAACGTGCCATTCTCAATGAAACAGTCTCTGATAGGATTAGCTGTTCACACAAATCTGGGGCTCTTTTGGCTCCACAAAAGTCTGATGGTTTGCTTGTGTTGCAGAAAGTTCTCCGAGGCTGTTATGAAGATATTGATAAGTACGAGGAGGTTTATTATTAATAAGGGCCGGGAAAGAGGAGATTTTTCTAGATAAATTTGTAACATCCCTTTTTCAGCGGGCAGATAGAATACCCTTTCTGAAGGATCTCCCAACAAAACCACGCTTCAGCGGACAATCGAATGTAAATCTACACCACGCTGACTGTTGAAATTGTTCTTCTTGACACCCACAGACAACAGAACCCCCACTCAGAAACTCTATCCACCCACCCCCCTTCCCCTACACTCTCGAAAGAACTCAATGTGCGATGCGAGAGGGAGGGAGAGGGGTGTAATTGTTGGGATGACTGAATTTTCGAACCTTCTATAGACGCCCACAAAAAATGGATGAAGCTTTCATCATATTCAAAAGAGTGAATGCCAAAGTTAATATCTGTATGCAAGAGTTGTAAATAACATGATTAGCGTCACAAAGAGGGGGGGGGGTGAGGGGCAGTCTCAAAATCTGTTCTTATTTCACTCCCAAATACGCCCCTCCGTAAAATCATCACTACGCGCTTCTCGTTACGTGAGTCCCAGAGATCAGCTGACCATTTCTGGCACCCGCCGCAACCCACAAAACCCCGGTCCCTAGATGTTATTTCGATACGATCCGCAGACGAACCCGTGCCGTTTCCATCAAAAACACGACAGGATTATGGGCCAGGCTCCCTCTCACAACAGGGCTGATTTAATGACCTTACTCTACTCTTTTTCTACGAGTGGAGTTCGGGGCACATCTTTCAGAAGTATACTCTCAAATGAGTGCCAATAGAGCACTCCGATGAGCAGCCCTGCCCTCAAAGGCACGGTGGCTGGAGAGCGGTGCTATGTTGATGACGTCGCAGAACGTTATTGGTAGAATAGACTCCTCAGCCTTGTAAGGAGGTGGGGGGAGGGGGTGGTGTATGGGACCGCCTCTTAGCGCCCTTCCTCCAACGACGTTCAAAGATGTCATCAAAACCGCTCCACCCTCCTAGCCACGTGACCGCTGCTTTCAAATGCGTGTGAATTCACCGAGAATGGTCGAAACCTGGATCCAAAACCATTCAAGTTTGGATGGTCGAAGCCCCTCCAGATGACATTCTTACTGTGCTGTGCTGTACGCGCATGACCCCGGATTCGATCAATTCAAAATGGAGCACTTTCCAAATACCGGTACTGAATTAAGGGCATAGTCAATAGAATCGCACTCAAATATTCCTGCGATTCTCTTGACCTCTCGGGGAAAAAATTCTGCGAAGCAAGAACTAATGAACTGGCGAGTGTGCTGTTCAGAAGCCTCAACAGGGTAGAAGGACCGCTATTGAACGAGGCCAACGATCGCTGCTCACACAAGTTGAGAGGTCAAAACCTCGACAGCCTACCCTGCCACCCGCCCTGAATGATCAATATATTTCTCGCCGTTATTCTACACCGTCCATCAAATTATTTCCGACCATCGCTCAACTTCGTCCGTCATTTTCCAGCACTTCTCTTTCGCGAAAACTCCGTTTTGGTTTACCGCCATGAACGACTACTTGGAAAAGAGGCACGGTATTCGCCGTGTGCCGCAAAAGCTGAAAGCAAAACTCCCTTGAAAAAATGCGTTTTCGCGTTTTTTTTTGCAGTGGAATTCCTTCCAGATTTGGGAACCCATTTAACTTGACTGGTCGAGATCGGCAGGTGCTTTCAATTTTTGTGAGGGCCTTTCTTGTTTTGCGCCATTCAGCAGAGCTTTCCAAGAAATAATTTTTGTGCGATGCATATATAATTCTTCTTATGCAACCTGTTCATTCTATAGAAAGCAAACGCCTCGACAGCTGTCCTGGAATGCGCCATGTACTCGACTTCATTCACTACATTGTGAAAGTATTTGAATACTTTTCGGATTTCGAGGGTCTCTATTCCATTTTGAAGCCGCTGATTGACTAAGCGTGTTGTACCTGCGCTTTGGATCCCTTTATTTCGAGTTCAACAGAGAGGAGTCTTAGAACAGTTTTCCGTAAAATTAGTCGGCTTATTTTGTGAAATTTGCCAATTTTTAAGGACATGTTTCGTCGGAATCTGGAAGGTGACTACGAAATCTCCTATCCGTAGACTACGGCTGGCTTTTTGGTGGAAGTTATACGACGGGATTCTTGGCCTTTCTTCCATGGTGTGACCCTAAATGTCATTCCGCGTCATGCTCCGCCCCGTGAAAAGATCAGGTTTTCTGCTTCTTCAGCGAAATTGCACATTCTTAATGTAAAACAGCGTCGATTCTCAGAAATGAAATGAAGCTGGGTCGTGTTCTAGTAAGAAGGGGCATTGCGGCATTGGCTTCGAGGCGCTCAGTGCGTTCAAGACCACGAAATGCTTCCATTGGTTTTTGTTTAGGGCTAACCATCAGCCGTAGAAGAGGGAGAAACCACGCCTCCGTCAGCAATCTTTGCTCTCCCTGAAGGGTTCCACCCTCCCTAGGTTTAGCACAGGGTGAATATCACTTTCCATAGGTGTCATCCAGCACATGAACACATTTTATAAATAAACTAAAGAAGTAACCTAGGAAGAAAGCTGATAGCGATTCGAATCTTCAAAGGACTCTTGAGCCAAAGCTGGCTGAGAGCAGATTGTGCACTGCAAGGCCCCTCTTACCGGATTGAGATCCAAAATGCTACCGATGGTGGACAATACCATTCGCCATCAAAAGTTTGTTTTTCACCGTTGGCGGGCTTCTCCTCACTGCTGACCGACTTTCTTAGGCCTTGACAGTCACGTGTGCGGGCTTAAGGGCATCCCCACGCTCATGGGTAATTTCCACATTAATGCGACCTCATCGGTGCTGTCGTCTTCTAGCAGAGGCCGGGCGGCCAGGGGCATAATCTTCGCTGCAAAACGCGCGCCGTTCCGCACCCTTACGCTGGTGTCAGAGTCCGCGATTCGTCGCACGGTTCGCGCGATTCGCGCGACGGATCGCGGACTCTGGCGCACAATACTGGAGGGGCCGTCTCGCGCTTAGCCAGCTTCCATTTTCTATCTCCGACCTTATCTTGAAATCATCCTTTGAGATCCAAACTTTTCTAATTAGTTTTGATATTTAAGATGCTTTATTCATTATTCTCATCACTGGACTAATCCGGCGGCCATACGCTCTTCAAATCCGCAGTCGTTGCTTCCACGATGCATGCGGAAGAAACCTGTAAAAGTATCCGTAGCGTTGATATTTGATACCTCATTTCCATTAAGATTTTCTAGCGTTTAGTTAATTCAAGAAAGCGGATTAACCGTTGAATTTCAGATTTCTGACAGATCTATGTTTACATACAAATACATTTGTTTTCTTTACTATTCCGACACTCACCATTCTCTCCCCAGTCGTCGTGCCACGAGTTGGCAACGATCCAATAGGGTGTTCCCTTTTCCTCTCCCCATCCAATCACCTTCACAGCATGGAGACCTGTTTTGCGTCCAGCCTTGTGCTGTAAACAAATGGTTCACAAGTTTGCTCAGAGGGTTTCCTCAGGGCAAACTGCTTGAGGTGTAGGAGTAGATCCATAAGTGGTATAGCAAGAGATTCCCTATGAAAAATTCACCTTATAAATTCCTGATCTGTAGTGTGCGAAATCTTCATAAACAGTATAGGTGGCGACAACCGGTCCGTTTTTCATTATATCTTTCTGGATAGCTTTCACCGAATTCTTCAATTGGTAGGCTTTTTTGCCTGCAATATTCAGTGCTCAGAATCGCATTCGCCAAGTTTGGGTGGTCAGCAGCCAAAAAGTCGCAGAGAAGGTGATCTTTGAAGGCAGCGATCACGGGCTGTAGGGTGGCACGGTTCTGATGACGTGGCTAGACTTCATTGCCTCGCGAGCTAGAGCTTTCGGCGGCACGTGAGTGGATGGCAACCGCCCCTTAATCCCTTCCGCCCTAATAACCTTCACCGCCCCGCCCTCGGCCCAACCCCAACCGTCAGCTGGCGACCTCGGCTGCCTTGACACCATTCACGGCGACGCGCCCTTTTCCACTTCTTCGGTCGCGAGGCAAGCGCCCGGCGAGTTTTGGGGTGCGGGACTTTTGGCTCGTCCGGCCTGTCACGCGGCGAGTTCCGCGGCGGCACGCGCGGCGATCTGGACGGGACAAGGCTTCGCGGTTCTTCGGGTAGAATTCAACACGTCAATGCGTGTGCAGATTGCGGATAAACTCCGCATGGTTCTGCTGTTTGAAAATCTTTCCGCTCGCGGGGATTGGAAGCAGCAGTATCGGTGAGGAGAATCCAGCGCAAGGAGTTGAGTGAGGGCATTCATGTAAATGTCACTACTACCATCAAAGCAAATAAGAGTCACTAAAATTGGGAGTTTTTGTTGAGGTATTTACCGTCAACTATATATGTTTTGCTGATCGAGGCGCTCACGTCCAAAGGAGAAACATTCGAAACAAAACAACAAAACAGGGTCGTCGTAACGGTCGGTCACTAGGACTAAGCCCAGCACAGGAGAGGAATGCCAGGGAGAACACAAATTACTTCCCCCAGAATCCCTTCTCCTCCCTAAGTCTCGTCCCAAACACAGTGATTGGCTCACTCACTTCCCCCTAATGGAACGTCCCCCCCAAAGACATGAGCGCCCTGATTGCCGTAACAGCACTACGCTAGTTCCTTCTTATCTCTTTCTACTGTTACAACCACCGCTGTCCTCAAAATTCCAGCCGTTCAGATGTATTTCGTATTGCAGAACCTTGCGGATTTTATCCGCAATCTCCACACGTTGACGTGTTGAATTCCCGCGATGCGTCGGGATCGCCGCGCCGCTCGCCGCGCAATTTGCCGCGTGCCAACCCGGACGAGCCAAAAGTCCGTCGCCCAGTTTGTGGGCGCCATTAAAGACAGCAGCGACATCTAGTGACAGCCCTTCGTGAACCTGTGTGTGAGCGTTCCCGTCGCCAGCATTTGTGACAGATGTCCGGCGGTAATTTGAACGCGTAGCAGCCCTTTCGGTTTTTCGAATTTTTTATCAAAACAAAGCAATTTTTTGTTCTTTTCGTTCTTATCGTGGACGATGGGTTCAAGCCAGTGATTTATGGTGAGATAGAATCATGATTTTTCCGGGAAAGATTCCTTTAAGTCCTCTTCAGAGAACGGTGTTCATCGGATTAGCTTACCTAGTAAGAAAGGTTGTGTAAGAAACGGCGCTATCTCAAGATACGGGAGCGGGCATCCAGCTAAGACTGAGCATAGGAGAGGACAGGAACTACGGGTGAAATGAAAGCTGCTCACGCACCCTGAGTTCTCCCACTTAGGTTACGCTTAAGTTCAAGTTTAGCAAAGAGAAATGTTAGCGGATGCAAATGTGTTTCCCCCCACAGTGCCCCGTATCTTGCGTTAGCGTCTGAGAAATCTGTCAGTTTCGTGTCGAGGAGTTTTAAAAGGGACAAGAACAAAGCGCACTGAGCCCTGTGGTGCTATAAAACCCTCTTGACTGAGTTACGGTTTATTATGTGCACGAGAACTTATGAACGTTCACATTGATATCTAGCGTTATGGCTATCTTTCGCTATGAGATTTGCGCACGATCAATTTCAGGGCCAAATTGCCTTCATTTCAACTTTAGACGTACCGTAATACCTATCCGATGGATAGGACTTCGGGTAGCCGAGCAGGCATCTCCTTTTGCACCTTGGGGTATCCGCCATGCCAACGCATTCTCCATAATATGTCTCATTTCCATGATGTCCACATGGATGAATCTCGTAAGGACGGCAGCTACCCTAAATGCTTACCCTACGTGGATCACGAGAAGGAGCTCGTTGTGTCCTCACCTTTGTGTTGTAGTCTCCACCAGTCACAACGCCTTCATCTGCGTGAAACCGGAAAGCACTGATCGGCCAGCCGTCCTTCGCATCTGATCGGAAAGTTCTGCCATTTTATGAAACGCGATTTGTCGATCTTTCTAGTGGACGGTTTTTTTGGGCAGGCTGGATGCGGCCCTTACTAAATTTATCCATCTCACTAAAAGCATCGCCTGCAGGGCTAAAACTTGTCGCGGTAATCGTTTGGATGGTTTCGGTGAGGGGGCAATGCGAGTTGCTTACCCTAAAACGCAACATAGAGCTCTTCCACGGAATATCTGGATGTATTGACACTGCTACCATATATGATATATAGTTCCGGCGGGCTCAGTGACCAATGGGTGAAGCCATTGTACCCCCGTAAAGAGCTCAGATTGCTTCTTAGGTTGCCTGAGCTGCGCGATCATCGAGCAATGGCTTTTTAGGCTTCTTTAAAGGAGGATTGCACGGAAAGAACGAAGGTCGAAGAAGGGAGAAATCGCCTAGTGGGGAGAGCGGTGAATCTCTTGAGGGTGCGGACAGACACGCAATCGGCATCGAAAGATTTGACCTCTGAGATCTAGCATGGCTCAAAGTTGGCGAGTTCGGCGATCTCCGCCCACCGATCGTCTGATCACTCGCCGTAGTACAATAGGTGGCGAGTGATTAGATAGCTGAGAGAGCGTAGGGTTGAAGAGGGCAAAGCGATGAGAGTCCCATCAATGCTCAAATCAACGGACAAGGAAGGGGTCCCATTTCTCCGGTTCTGGGCCGTTTTTCGTGGTTTCGCTTTCTTTCTGGTACTACTCACCATCTCTACCTCAATTTGGAATGGGTTGCTTTTCCATCGTAAATTCGTCCTTTAAGTTAGGTTTATTGCTAATTAGATAATGGTTGAGCCTATGAGGCTCAGTCTCAGGCTTAGGCTCAGGCTTTAACCTTATGTTCAGGGCTGATTTCTAGGCTTGGGCGATTAGGTTGAGTCTTAGACTCGCTTTCACATTATGTCATGATCATGCCGAAGCTAGGGCTTAGGGCTCAGTTCAGGCTTAGACTTAGGCTCAGGTTAAGGCTTAAAAATAGCCTGGTATGAACAAATTAGAGATGCCCTTTGAAATAACCTGACCTGGCTAGAAGAAGTATACACCAAGATTGTCAATAGCTTTATTTGGCCGACGTTTCGGTGCTTTCACCTTCTTCAGAGCCTGGAAAAGTCGAAAGCTATTTAGGAAACTACCCGTCCAAACACTATTTCAACCTACAAGATTCATTCAACAGGGAGTAAACTACTAAAACAATGTCATGGAGGGAGATGAGAACGAACCTTTAGAGATGCTGGCCAGAGAGGTCCACCTGCCACCCCGAGCTGGTAGTAACGTGGCTTAAATAGGTAAAGCCTTAGGGTCATTTGCTTTAGGGACCTCCGGAGGGTTGATCATGTAGATCAAATCACTCCAAAGGACCCCTCGAGGCTAGGCGCGCCGCTGAACCCCCTGAACCCTTATTATTGATTACTATGCAGTAGCCCCCGACCCCGCCCCCGTCAGGAAGAACCCCGCGGGGTCTTCCTGACGGGGGCGGGGTCGGGGGCTACTGCATAGTAATCAATAATAAGGGTTCAGGGGGTTCAGCGGCGCGCCTAGCCTCGAGGGGTCTTTTGGAGTGATTTGATCTACATGATCAACCCTCCGGAGGTCCCTAAAGCAAATGACCCTAAGGCTTTACCTATTTAAGCCACGTTACTACCAGCTCGGGGTGGCAGGTGGACCTCTCTGGCCAGCATCTCTAAAGGTTCGTTCTCATCTCCCTCCATGACATTGTTTTAGTAGTTTACTCCCTGTTGAATGAATCTTGTAGGTTGAAATAGTGTTTGGACGGGTAGTTTCCTAAATAGCTTTCGACTTTTCCAGGCTCTGAAGAAGGTGAAAGCACCGAAACGTCGGCCAAATAAAGCTATTGACAATCTTGGTCGGAAGCTCAGTACTAAACTATTCTATTCTGAAAATATGCCAAGATTCATGCAAAGTCGAACTTGGACATCCTCAATTTACACAGTTCTTCAGGTCCAAATGGGAAGGTGACTCCAGTGGTACCAGTGCGAGAATGATCATCCGCAACCGTTTCAGAAATGCAAATAGTCAAGAAAAAACGTACCCGTCACCGCACCATGTGCAGCACGACACAGCGTCTTGAGCAGAGATCAGCACCTGAATTGTGCTCCCTGAGTTGTGAATTTAGAATTCTATTATGTGTAGATTGTTCTGTACCTGTTTGGCACCCTTGCTAGCAATGCAAATTCTGTCAGACATCGCAGCTGCCGACGAGACTGCCCAGCATGAGCCTAGACGATGGTAACCATAGATTTCAAGATCTTGTAGGCCGGGACTGTTGAAAGGTTTTACCGCAGTTCGCTTGGTCGGGGATGTGAAAGAGCGAAGAGCAGTTGGCCCATTGAATTCGAGGATCGTAGCTAAAAAGGATCAAGCATTATTGTCCCCATTACTAGGATGAGCTGAGCAGCACACCTGAGTTCGATCTCCCCTCCCCTTGTGAATTGTAGCACCAAAGTGCTGCGGTTTGGGACCCTCTGATTTCAAGAGGGAATCGGCTTTGGTAACTCAGTGGGTGGGCCTTGATATTGATCCAATACCACATCAATTTCTAGCCATGCACATTAAAAAAAGCCCCTCTACAGTTCGAAGGAAGTTCGGGAGCATGGGATTTCAGAGCTCTGAGTCATTGTCGTTCATGTTTAATGTTTATTTCATTGAGTACGGTAGAGTTTATGCTTGGTTTATACTTTATAGGTTTCAAGGAGTGTCTAAGCTGCGCAAAAGCCTGTCAACCAACCTCTCAGGTATGTCATCGTTGTTTTCTTCAGCTCTCTCTTTCCACCTCTCAGGCAGACAGGAGTGTTATTCTGGTCTAGGTATTTCAGATCCATCAACCTCTGCTTGAAATAAGGCACTGGTGTCGCAGTGACCTGCAAATGGGCACTGTTAGGGCGGCTGACAGCCATGGAAGTCTACCATGGGCAACCTCGAAGAGTCTCTGGTTCTTTTGGAGATATTCAACCAGCGGCACCGACTCAGCGCTGCGCTTCGCGGGCATTGCTCGCTTCCGAAGCATCTGCAGGAGGACAGAATATCTGTCTTCACAAGTGAACACTGAGGAATAAATGGGGACTAACCAGGAACTTGTGCTTCGCTTATCCCTTGACACAGGTTTATGCAGACAGTGCAAAGAAAAGGTATTTCTGGAATATTGACATTTCCAAGAATTGCTTATATCAGAAAGGCTTTTTTAGGAGAACGTCGAGAAGGGAACTCACCATCGCCATTCGAAAATTCACGACTACGTCGGCATCTGCTTATAATCGCCACAGTCCTGCTTTTCTAGAAGAATCAGTGTCACTCATGATAAGGGAAAGTCTCAAGGAGAGTCATCGACACTTAGGTCCGCAAATGATGAGCAAATATTTCCAAGAGGATAATCCGGATAATTTCCAGGCAACACGCAACATTTTGCTCACCAGAATTCCCTTATCATTCTTTTATCATATCATTTTCACCCTGTCATAAGACGGTGTTTCCTGCGATTCTCTTCCTTGATCCTCTTTTCTTTTTTTGCCGGGCATTTGAGCAAATGCGTCATTGTGATGTGAATCGATACATATTTTATTCGATGACTC